CCACTCCCCCTGCTTGTGTTCCCTCTCTCGCGGTGTCTCTCTCTGTCAAATAAATAAAATCTTAAAAAAAAAAAAAAGAATACTCTTCTTGTGAAATCAACCAACCAGAACATTCCTCTTTCAGAATGTTTTGCATATGTACTGTTACACACACTGATAACTAAAATAGGAAATCTAAAAACTAAACCTTACAACTAAAAACATTATAACATGATCAATCTTCTTCTCTGGATTAACCTGAGGAAATAGACAAACTCCTTGTTAAATTATATATTTGTCTCTATGCCTAAATTCACTAATGGGTTATGCTTTCATGAGTTCAGTACAAGTGGTAGAGTTACAGTATTGATCTATGTAACTTGTATTCTATCTGACAATCTGACAAAGAACTGCATTGTTTTTCTGAAGCTACACTGCAAGGGTTCACAGAGGTGATGAGTTCAATAAATAATCTGAGTATATTGGCAAAAAAATAGTAATAAAATGAAGAGTGTATTGGCAAAACTGAATAAAAGTTACATATGATCAGCAACAGTCAGGTTTGATGCATCATCTTGTGAAGATGGTATTTGGGACATCTTACAGTCTTTCTTAAAATCCTCGAAAGTTGAAGAAAACCAGGTTCAGATTTCTGTTCAAGTTCTATGAAAACCTTTCTGCTTTTCAGATCATTAGAAATAATCAGTATTATTGTACATTGCTTGTTTACTCCCAGGAACCTTCCCGTTTCAACATTATCATCAAACCAGTCATATCAACGCTAACAGTTCCCTTGCTGATGCCTCCTTTTTTACTTTGAGTGAAAAAGGTACCACAATATTGCAGTGGCCACAAGCGGTACCCTCTGTCTCTCCATTTCTGTCATCAAAGTAGACTGTGTGGGAGAAGTCTCCTATGGCTGTTCTGAATAAAGTACAGTAGAAGAATAATATAATTTTTAAAAAATTTCCAGCACACTGTATTTTATATTTCCACAAAACTGAGGAATTTATCTGTATAAAATTTTTAAGTTGGGGCAAGAGGGAAGGAGAGGTATTTAAAAATCCTTATTTAAATTTTTTTTTACCTGTATGAAACAAAATACCCATTGAAAATATTTAACATTATAGTTTACTTCTTTCCATTTCTAATTCCTATCTTCTTGGCCGCTACTTACACTTACGTAGATCAATAAACCCAAAATTACCTTTAGAATATTCTCACACTATTTTTCCCCAAAATGTGATCACATTTTAAAAGCCTAAACCATTGTTAGTAAGTGTTCACAGAAAAGGGTAAATGCTTCAACGAACTTCATGATTGTGTCATCTGCTTTAATTGGATTACTTTGCCTAGCATAAACTTATGGGCACTGAATATGTATAGTTTTATGATTCTGGCTATACGTAGTTATCCAGTATTCTAAAAAGATGTATCATAATCTTTCTCTCTCTAGGAATCTTACTGTCCATGAAACTGCTAGTTTCAATGCAACCATGACAAAACTGCATTTTATCATTTGATTTAAAAATACATTGCTACTTTGAGAGCTATCAACTGGCATTTTAAGGTAGGTTTTAATTGTATACCTTTAGATGGAAAATAATAATTTTCTATTATATTTGTTAACTTTGATGTTTTCCATTGTGTGACTGGTGTATTAATGTTCTTTGCTTTTATTCTGTGAGATCTCTTTTATTTTTTAGATATTTGAATAACTATTTTATACAGAATCTTTGCTCTTTCACAGGAATATCAGAACTCCAGAAATGGTTTTCTAACTCACTTCCCTTTCCAGGATTAGCTGTAGACAGCAAAGACTGTGAATGTACAGCACTATTTTTGACCTATACAATAGAATATGATCCTTAAAGTATTAAATCACTTTTATTAAGATTCTATGTGTCTTGGGTGCCTGGGTGGCTCAGCTGGTTAAGCGACTGCCTTGGGCTCAGGTCATGATCCTGGAGTCCCTAGATCGAGTCCCGCGTAGCGCTCCCTGCTCAGCAGGGAGTCTGCTTCTCCCTCTGACCCTCCCCCTTCTCATGTGCTCTCTCTCTCATTCTCTCTCTCTCTCAAATAAATAAATAAAATCTTAAAAAAAAAAAGGTTCTATGTGTCTTAACTCATAAAAATTCATAGATCGGTTTTTAAACAATGGGGAGATTTGCATATACTCTATGTTGAGAAAAGAAATGTGTTTTCATAGTAACTTGTCAAATGATACATTAAAGACTAATTCTGAATTCATTATCCCCATGCAAACTTTCTAAGTGAATCTTACAGATTGTTTAGAGAGATCTGGTCAATTACTGCCATTAGTACTGAGGAATCATACTACCCAATGTAGCAGAAGGATTTAGATTAATAATCTATTTCTAGCTTAATAACTGACTGGCAGTATTTAGAGGCAACTCTGAGAGCCCCCAAACACACACACCCTTCATGGATATACAGACTCACCAGAGGAAGCTCTCAATATTAATATTTTTGCATTTATAAATGTAATACTTTTATAAAGATTAAAAAATAAATAGAAGTAGACTACACCCTGCACTTCTCTCTTCACACTGTACTGTTTTGCTTGTTTACAAATACTTTTCTTCAAATATTTCCAATATTTTCTTCATTTTTGTCTTTTCATTCAAAATTAATGGGACCTTAAGTATGTGTTGATCATCTAGATTTTGATTCTGATACACTCTAGGTTGAAACACCGTTTTCTTTCTATTCTCATATTAAGATGACAGGCATCTGGGAACTGTCAATTTGGTAGATTATCTGCCATAAAATTTTCCACTTGGGTTAAATTCTCCTTTGGACCTAAAGGGGACTTTTGCTTCCCTTGCCCCAGTTATCTGCCTTTTCATCCTCATCCTACACCCTTCTCCCCTCCCCACAGTTTGGGTGATGTGTACTAACACAAAGTTTAGTATCTGAATTAGGAGTGAATTTGCCATAGACATAGGCAAGACATATTTTTCACATTCAAAATGTACACCCTCTTTCCTTGTACTCTTTTCCCTTCTCCTAGTGCTTTCTCCATTTATAAAAACAACAGGGTTATTTGTGCAAGCTATGTATTGAAAATTTCTAAATACTGAAAACTAAAATGAGAGGGAAAAATACCTGTTTATCATGTGACATGAAATCATCTGTTTCCATAGTCCTGGTGTTGTACAACTTTCCTGATAAATGCACTGAGTATCTGCAGTGGCGATGCAATCCACAGGCCTGGCAGGAACAGTTTTCAGGATTCTTCAAATGGATACTTACATTAGAATAATTTTCCACCCGCTCCTGAAAACAATTGAAAAATGTAATGAAGCTTTCCAAGATTGGAAAAAACAACAATAAAATAAAACATAAAAAGAACCTAACCAAATTAAAGCCAATATTTGGAATCACAATAATGGGGTAAGATGTAAGAGCAAAACACACTCTTATTTCTTACTTTAACACAGAGCACACAGTAGATATTTGACAAGATATTTTTAAATTAAAAAAAAAGAATTTATAATTTAGGCTGTTAAATGAAAAGAAACCAGACTAGAAAAAAATTAGTTTCCTACTTTTGAGTTACTATTAGGTAGTATTCTTCACAGGTTTTAATTTACTTTTTTTTCCCCTCCTCTCATCTCTAGTTAGTGTAAATGAGGTTTAATAGTTAAAAATAGAAAAAAAGAGCAGCAAAAATTCAGGATACTGTAACAAAAAGATGAATTCATTTCGGTTAGTCAAAACTGAGAAAAACCAGATCACATTCAGTCTCTTTGGTGTAAATTATATCCTATTTCCCACAAAATATTTCAGAAATGATTTGATCATCCTATGGCTACTTACTAAAGGACTATGAAATAAGCAGGTTGGAACTAGGAATGCTAGGGGGCCAACTCTGATATGGATAGTCTAATAGCTGAATTAGCAACGAATAAGTGAACTGAGAAAATATTTGGCATTCATAAATAAGCTTTATTAAGCTGTGCAATTACTTCTGGTTGCATATTTTTGCTCACACTCTAGGCCTGTGCTAGATACTACTGTCATAATTAGTAGTGTAGATTAGGTTTTACCATAATATTTGAACTACAAACAGTGAGCATATTAGCAGGGTTACTGATCCACATTTGTATTCTCTATCAGCCTGATAGTAATTAAATATTCAGTATACTGATAGTTTCCTTTTTAACACTGTATGATTCATAACTACATTGTATTTTGTCTACTTTTAATATTTCTCATATTTCATGGCAGTTTGTGACACATGCCACTTACAGGATGACATTCAGAGTAAATAGGTGACTAAACCACTTTCCCTTCTCGTTTCTGTGGTACATATGGAAGCACATTCAAGATGAAAGCTCTATCAGCTTGGGTCTTGAGTGACTACAATATGCAGAACGCTACTGTAGATTTACACGGGACATACAATATAACTGAAAAATAAGCTTTGTTGGTTTAAGCTGTTAAGATTTTCATTGTTGACCTGTTGTATTTATTTTTTGCAGCATAACTTAGCTAATTCTGACCAAGATCATATTGAATTATCTATGTCTCTAAATTTTTAAGCTAATATTTTCTTGTATCTCTCAGTTATTATTTCAACATCAGATAATCCAAATTCAGCATAACATGCCATGGTATAGTTAAGCATAATATGGCATAGTGGCGTGGGCTTTGGAGTCAGATAAATACTAGGAATTTATGATTTCTAGGTTTAAACATTGGCCTAGTTAATTACTCGCTGTGTAACCTTGTGTTCGGAGTCACAGTTTTCTCAACTCTAAAACAGGAAAGAATAGTGCCTTCCTCATGGGGTTACTCTGAAGATCAAATAAGATACTTTGCATTGCATAATTACTTGGCAAAGTTAAGTGATCAATAAATATATGCTATTTTTCTATTAAAGAAAATAATATTTAAGAACGTGCTATGTATTTTACCTTCCAAGTAAGTAAATATTTCCCTTTAAAGTAGGTAAATATTTTCTGTATCTGAGGAAGAGAGTGGAGTTTAGAGAGGTTAAAAACCTACCCAATGTCAAAAAGATATATATGGTGGCCCTAAACTCAGCCATCCTCCAAACTGAAGTCTTCTATTTCTGTAATCCCATAACTGTCCCTTAAACCTAAATCATCTGTGGCTAATTTATCAGGTAATTCAAGACTGAACAGGCCTTGGATGAAACCAAATCTCCTGACATAAATGAGGTAGAATAGCTAATGATTTAAGTGCCAGAAGGACTGTTAGGAACTTGAACTTCTGTTACCTTGCCATTTTTTTTCCTCTCGCTAATCATTAGAAGATAGAATATTAGAAGTAGGGAGATTAAGAAAAAAACCCTTAAAAAACATATAAGACAGCCTCTACTATTAGAGATTCATAAAATAGAAATCTATGAGATAACATGGAGTAAGTCTTACAAAGTAAAAAGATGCTTCCCTGAAATTGGTAGAATTACAAAATCTTAATTACCAATAATTACAAAACCTTAAGGTCGAGAAGGATGTCAAAGACAACCTAGGCCAGTGTTTCCCAGATTATGTTATGGAAATCAATTATTCTAGGAGGTGATAAAATGTAGCTCATGAAAAGGAGCCTCATAGGAAAACACAAATTTGAAAAGTATTGCATTCTACATCACCCTCTTGAAGATTTACAGTATAAATTCATACATTAATGTTCCTTGAAAGGTCCTCCAATTAAGTTTAAAACCCACCATTTCTCAAACTTCTTTAGCAATGGAACTCTTTTCTGAAACAATGATTAATATTCTGTGAGATAATCTCCTCATTTTAATAGATGGGCTAAGCTCTGGGGATGCTCTAAAGTTATTCATCATTTAGAACTACTTAACTACTGGATACATATAATAAGTGTTACAATAATTAAAACAATAGCAGTCTTTAGAAAAGGTGAGAAACAACAAGCTGATTATTAACAAAGAAAAATGCCAATAATTTAGAAGATTATTCAGTTAGTATTCAGTCAATATTCAGTTTGATAACTGGATACTGAAATCCTGACAGGTCTGCCACTCCCATCCCCCCAACCAGAGACTCAAAACAAATTAAACTGTATACCTTATATTGCTCTTTCCAACGACTTCTAGAAGCTAAACTCTCTAGACGAGGCTGAACAAAGCGGTTATCCAAATAATGGAGAGATGTCAACATATCTTGTGCATATGATTTTTGTCTGGTGCCATCTGTTCAGGGGAACAACAGCAGCAAATAATCACTTAGCCCTTAGGAAATTATCTATCTATCTATCTATCTATCTATCTATCTATCTGTCTAAGCCCCCACACCAATGAATTATCCAGCCTCAAATACCAATAGTGCCAAGGTTGAGAAACATTATTAGGCAATATTTAAATGGTTGAATACTTAAGGATTTCTTCCCATAGTTTTAGAAAGATACTTGGTTAATTGGTTAGAAGCATTTGAAATTTTTAAAAAATTAGTTAAGTAAAGAAAAAAAGATTCCATCAGAACATTAGGGAAAGGAACAAACCACAGAGGCCTTCTAATTGTTCCCTGAATACATCAAACTTACTCTTTTCTGTTCTTTTAATCCCAGTAAAATTAAGATATAGTGTTATATTAGTTTCAGGTGTACAATATAGCAATTCAACAGTTCTATGCATTGCTCAGTGCACATCACAGTAAGTGTACTTTTAATCCCCTTCACCTTTTCACTCATCCCCCCCACCAACTTCCTCTCTGGTAACTGCCCATTTATTCTCTATAGTTAAGAGTCTATTTGTTTTGTTTGTTTTTTTTCTTTGTTCATTTGTTTTGTTTCTTAAATTCCACATGTAAGTGAGATCATACAGTATTTGTCTTTCTCTGACTTAGCATTATACCCTCTCGATCCATCCATGTGTTGCAAATGGCAAGATTTCATGCTTTTTTTATGGCTGGGTAATATTCCGTTGGATATATATACCACTTCTTTATCCATTCATCTATCACATCAAACTTACTTTTACCTAAGGGTCTTTTGCACTTACTGTGTTCTCAGATAGATCAATGCATTATTTTCCCCCTGACTTCGTTCATTTAAAAGTCACCTCTTGAGAGACCTTCTTTGACGCATCTAACAGATACTTTCTTTTCCTTTATCACTCTTGGGTCTCTTTAACCTATGTTTTTTTTTTTTTCAAGAACTAATCACTAGTTGAAATTGTATTATGTTATATATTTGTTTCATGGTCTGTCTCTCCCATTAGACTTTAAGTAACATGAGGGCAGGAATCTTGTATGTCATAGTCATTGCCATATCCCTAGCCCTCAGATAAATGCTGGCCCCTTAGGCACTCAATAAATATTTGCTCAATAAACTGTGAATGAAATCTCACTTAGGCAATTAGGTAGATATTCAATACAACATATTTGTAATCTTTATTAACTTCCAGATGTGCTAGATGCAAGGGATAAGTGTATATCTAAAGTATGGTTCTTCTTGTACTCTTAGAAGAGAGGAAGGCAAAAATACATTTTCAATACAGTATGAAAAGTATATACACATCAGTACCACCAGGGAACTGAGAGCACAAATGAGGGAGTAAAAATACTGAGTGGGTCATAGTAGCTTTGACAGTGAAAACAATTTTATACTCATCTGGAAAATCTAGGGTAGAAAGGGATTATATTTTAAGAGGAAACAGTATGAGCAAAGGCACAAAAGCATAAAACAGCACATAAATTTTGGTGAAATTCAATGAGCTTAGAGAGGCTGGGACAACACATGGGTATTGAACTACTCTGCTGTTTTGAGTCTGTCCTACATCCTCACATTCACTGTCAACTCTCTAAGGTCAGGGGAACATGACATATTTCTTTTGCACTTTCCACATATCACAAATAATAAACAGTAACAAGTTCTTGATGTGAATGGGCTTCTGGTGTGGTTGATCCTAGAGGGAACAATTGGAGGGCCTTAAGAATGGGTCTCTTGGTTTTGCTTAAGTATATATTGTATTACATAGTATTACATTATTATATTAGTAGGGTGTTTAAAAATTGGAAAAAGAAAAAAAACTCTAATTGTTCCATTTGTATTAACTTACCATACAATGTTCCCAGAAAAGATTCATCTAAAGCATTGATCAGAAGAGCCTTCACAACTCTTTCAAAGTGAGTATAGTGGTCACTAAAAGAATCTGAAATTAATTTTAAATACATATTAGAATATACTAGATAAATAAAAATTCCCTGAATAAAATAGATTCCTTTCTCTAAGAAATTAATACTATAAGTAGGAGAATTCGCTTAATTATCCTAATTTTATAGCTGCCTCAGTGACTTGTCACTGAGCAAATCTCCATTTTCCAGATTTACTGGCTTCTAATCCAAATTTCAAGTTGTTATTTCAAATAATCTTCAATTTCCAAATTTATTAAGGGAAAACTATTCAGAAACTATTAAGAGATAAATTGTGGAAAAAAAAAAAAAACCCAGATCATCCCCTGTGGACCCAAGTTTAATTATCAACTTAACAATTAGAGAGAGCAAGAGAGAAAACTTTTATAGGTAGATTATTCAACATGTACCTGAAATTTCCTGTCTTTTCTTCTCTTCGAAACATGGTACATATGAAATTGCCCAAGAAATTACTACCCTAGCCAAAACCCCAATGGCTATAAAAACTCCATTTCCCTTTCTGCTGCTCCAGATTTAGGATTTTCCGTATCAGTTTAGAAAAGTTGTCTTCTTTTTTTTTTTTTTAATTTATTTTTTATTCTTATGTTAATCCCCATACATTACATCATTAGTTTTAGATGAAGTGTTCCATGATTCATTGTTTGTGCATAGAAAAGTTCTGTCTTCTCTTTCTCATACTGAATATATAAGCCTACCTTCCCACTAACCCAATGTAGTCCATGGAATCATCTGTTGTGATGGGCCATGCAATGGTAAGAGGGAAGGTCCTACTATTTCCCATTGCTCTTGGGTCAAGGTTTACTATGGCTGTAGAAATATTCTCTATTAAACACAACCTCTTCCTTGATCCAAATGGTCATCACAGAACATTTGCCCTGGCCTGGGAACCTATATTAGGGGCAGCCTGAGCATTTCAGGAAAAGTGGATGATGCTTGGTGAGAAATTTAAGCAAAATAAGACCTATGTTAGCATTTATGAGTGAATTTTGACCTTGCTTTCATTGAAATAAAACAAAGATGAGATTTAACATGGAGAAATGTTTTTACTTATATTTTAGCTACTAAAAGGGCTGTATAACTCTTTAGATTTCAGGAAAAATATTTAGTATGCAATCTTTTTTAAGCAAACATTTATTATAGTACTAAAGTGGCCAAAATAAAGCAGTAATAAAATTAAATGACAATAGCAGATAATTTGCACCAGGGCCCTTACACTTTAAATTACAAAAGAACTGATCACAGCCATTTATGAGTATTTTTTTAAAAATCAGTAGAATGTAATTGGAAAATGAAATAATACTTCAATAGCATTCAATTTTGATTAGATTTAATCAACCTCTGGATATAATATAGTATTGGACCATCATTTAATTTGTGAGTGTTAAACTGCATTTAAACTCTTATCTAGCACTTTCCAAGCTATATTAAGGGAAAAATGTTCTGGGAATATTAACAGGCATGTTGAGGGGGAAAAAACCATGAAATTCATTCCCTGTGCTCCTAAGTTTAACTACCAAATAAATTGAAATAGAATTTTTTATCCCTCTGATTTTATCAGTCTTTGAATGTGCTGATGCTCAACCTTACTCACCTGCTGTAGAGTTTGGGAACTGTTGTTCTATTTTAAAGACTTTGACGGTGTTTCTTTAGAATTGGGAGTAAAAGGAAAGGGCAGAGGATCAGAATCATCTGGAGAATTTTTGCCTAACCACAGAATCTCTCTCCTACCAATATCAGAATCTCCTTCAAAAGAGTCAGGAAAGCCTCAGTTTCGCTGTGCTTGAGTGGATAGATGGGTGGTGGAGGAATTAAGCTCCTGGCATCTCAGATTGAAAAAAATATTGTAGGGGCGCCTGGGTGGCTCAGTTGGTTAAGCGACTGCCTTCGGCTCAGGTCATGATCCTGGAGTCCCGGGATCGAGTCCCACATCAGGCTCCCTGCTGAGCAGGGAGTTTGCTTCTCCCTCTGACCCTCCTCCCTCTCATGCTCTCTGTCTCTCATTCTCTCTCTCTCGCAAATAAATAAAATCTTTTAAAAAAAATTAAAAAAAAAAAGAAAAAAATATTGTATTGAGCAAGTATATGCCAGGCATTGTTTTATGTACTTACATGCATTGCTTTATTTCTCAATACAAGCCTGTGAGGTACTATCAATACCCTCAGTTTATTTTTAGTTAAGGAAATAAATACAAAGAGGATGAAAAATCTCCCCAAGATCACACAGCTAGTAAGTGTTGAAACCGGTGCTGGAACCCAAACAGTGTGACTCTAGATTTCATGCTACTATCCCCTATGTAGATGTTGTTCTGCATGCTAGTTAGGTTTGATAATATAGTTCAGAGCATGGAATTTTAGACTTGGATGGGAAATTGGAGAAAATAATACAAATCTCTCATTTCATTTTATTTTGTATTTTATTTTTTTAGAGAGCGGTGGTGGGAGGGAAAGCGAGAATCTTAAGCAGGCGCCACACCCAGCAGGGAGCCTGATGTGGGGCTTGATCTCACACCCCTGAGATCATGACCTGAAACAAAATCAAGAGTCAGATGCTTAACTGACCAAGCCACTCAGGCGCCCCTCAAATCTTTCATTTTAAAATTTTTAAAAATGACCCAATGATGAAAGAACTTACCCGAGGTCACACAACTAGATAGAGGAAGAATCAGGATTAGAGCTCAGACCTCCTCCACAGCTTTTTTTCCAATGCTCGAATCCCTATAGTGGATAAGCTTCTGTGGAACATCCTAGCAATATCATTTAAAATTTTCTTCTATGATTATAAAAAAAATTGCAAAAGAATACAGGAGAAAATCAACAGTTTTTGTGTTTATGCATAACTTGATTTTTCAAGGTAGTCAATTTCCCCATACCCTATCATAGGGTAGTTTAGTCATTCTGTTGATTTTCCATGCATCTTTTATCATATATTAATTTCACATATATGCTAAGATTTTGTTTCAGCACCCTGTACCTTTCTTAATGATCTGGCCATCATCTTCATGCCAGTACTACACTGCTTTACTTACTGAAATGTTATATAACTTTTTATATCTGGTGGGGCAATCCTTCTGATTTACTGTTTGTTGTCTAATTTTATTTATTCTCATATATTTTTCCCAAGTGAACTTTAGCATTGTTTTTGCAAAGTTGAATCAAAAAGTTAATTTCACGGGCTCCGGGGTGACTCAGTTGGTTAAGTGTTAGATTCTTGATTTCGCCTCAGGTCATGATCTCAGGGCTGTGAGATTGAGCCAAGCATCAGGCTCTGAGCTGCGCATGGAGCCTGCTTAAGATTCTCTCTCTCTCTCTCTCTCTCTTTGCCCCTCCATCCCAAAAAAATTAATTTCGGAAGAAATAATTTCTTGTACTATTTACTGCTTTCCAGAAACATGCTGTGTCTTTTATTCATGTTTTCTTTGCTATTTCACAGTAAAGTTTATTCTTGTACCTATAAAGTCATGCTTTTCTTCCTAAGATTAGACCCAGGAACTTTATTTTGTTTGCTACTATAAATGGAATTGTCTTTCATTATATCTTCTAAATAATTATTGATAGCATACAAGAAAACTATTGAATTTTACATATTCATTGTGAATCTGGTCATCTTTCTGAGATCTTTTGCAAATCCCCAATAGTCAGATCTCTTATATATTTGCAGAAAATGAACTTCCTAGCACATCGCAGAGCTGGATAGAGGGAGATACTGTTCAGGAATTCCTGTGCAGTGACTCCGCTTTCTCCCCCAACCCTGAGAAGGATGTGGTCTTGCTAGTGCTAAGTTTATTTCAAGAACCGAGTGAATGTTTATACATATTCTTGTAGATAGAAGCACAGAGTGTTGGTGTACTTTCTTTTGAAATGGAAGTATGAGCCTAGTGTAAGAAAGCAGAGACAGAGCAAGAAATTGGGTTCTTTTTCTACTCTTAACAGGTACCCCCCGCAATAGGAAAAAAAGGAACATAAGAAAACTATGGAAATATATGCAGCATTTACTCCTGCTCTCAAGCTATTCATATGCTTTCTCTTTGTATCCCTGGTTAAATGAGTCAGAAACTTATAGCTTGTGTGTGTGTGTGTGTGTGTGTGTGTATATGTTCAAATAATGTCTTTTCCTTTTCAATAGTTATATTTCTTGTTTTACTTTTTTATTATATTGTTCAAAACATCTAGAACAAAGTAGAAAATTTTGTCTTGTTCTTTTTTAAAAAGATTTTATTTATTTTATAGAGAGAAAAAGAGTGAGGGAGAGTGTGTCCATGAGTCGGGGAAGGGGCAGGAGGAGAGCATCTTCAAGCTGACTCCTTGTTGAGCATGGAGCCCAACACAGGGCTCCACACGGGGCTTGATCCCACGACCCATGATAACATGACCTGAGCCGAAATCAAGAGTCGGCTGCCTAACTGACTGAGCCAGCCAGCCAGGCACCCCTGTATTAAACCATTTTATAATTCTTTTTTTTTTTTTAAAGATTTTATTTATTTATTCGACAGAGAGAGTGAGAGAGTACAAGCAGGGAGGAGTAGTAGAGGGAGAGAGAGAAGCAGGCCTCCCGCTGAGCAGGGAGCCCGATGCAGGGCTCGATCCCAGGACCCTGAGATCATGACCTGAGGCGAAGGCAGACGCTTGACCATCTGAGCCACCCACGTGCCCAACCATTTTATAATTCTAAAAAGGATGGCTAGATAACTTTTTCTTCATTCTTGTAATTAGAAAAATATTTCCTTCATATGTCTATTTGCAAATCTATTTTCATCAACTTATCAGGATGTGAGCCTCCTTAATTTGCATAAATGCATGTGTTCAGCAACTCAACAGTATTTTCTTCTATCACACCTCTGAATTCACATCTCCATGTTTTTCCATCCAAAAACATGCTGTCTCTTAGCACATTCAAATCTTCTTTTACATTTCCCACTAAAGCTATAGAATTTTCTTCCTTTAGATTTCCATTTGTTCTGTATTTCCCTGCAGAAATTTGTGAAGTAGGATCATTTCTACTC